AAAAATTAATTCACATCTGCTTTGCTCGACTAAACAGGCTCACCCCTCTCACTGAAATGGTGCTTTTTTATTTTTGTGTGTTGTTGTTTTTTTCTGTAAAACACTTTGAGAAGCCACATTTTAATATATCAAACAAAGTTTATTATTTTAATATTTATTATATGTATGTGTGAGTGTGTGTGCACATGCGCTCATGTTGGTCATTGATAATTTCTGGGGTTCCTATGAGATGATGACTTGTAGGTGGTACTTGGATGCTTTGGTTGGATTAGGGGTGGTACTTGGTCCAAAAAGTTTTATAACCACTGATATACAGTAAGTAGCTGCATAGTTAATAAGATACCACTAAATAATCAACATATTTGAGTCATTCTGTGTCAAGTCAACCAGAATCCAGGACCTTGCTTGCCTTGGGGTTTTGATTTTTCTTGTATCTCAGCCTGTTTAATACCTGACCTCTGTCTTCTTCTACAAATATATTATAAATCTTGAAGTGAGAGGTCCTAGTTGAATTTCTAAACATATTTTAATAAGTCCCAAAATGCTGAATAAAACAGCTGAATCAACAACAGTAAAGACCACAACAACCTTAAAAGAATTACATTAAAATAAATGAACAAAAATTTGAATTTTGTGAGGAGATGCAGCAAGAACCACACTAGTTTCCTCTCTGAAGAGCTAGAGTTGATATTGGACAGATATATTTCTATATTTTGTATTTGGTTTGTGATATTTTTAATTTTGGATCTATCTCCGTGTTCCACTCAAGAACTATATGCTAGCTACATCTGATGTGCAAGTATCGACAGGAGTTTGACACCCCCCACTATTTGACTTGTGTGAATGTCTGCTTTTTCCATCATTCAGGAGGATAATATTTAGAACAATCAGAGCTCTTGGATCTGTGCTTACTCTGTAGAATATGTTCAGAATACGTTGTCCTAATTAATTAAAGTTCAAAAGGAAAATTCAAAAAAGGAATGGGAAAAATCCAATGCCCATCACTCAAGCTTTTATTTTAATCCTTCTGAGTGTTCACTGTCCTCACAGCCTTGTACACCTTCAACTGTGTTGTATCCTTAGGATTTTGAATTCTGTATTAGTGCATGAGGGGCTCCCTCAGTTCATTCAGACAGTAAACCACTCATCCTTGTCCATTAGCCAAGCCTTTGTCCCTCTAAAAATCTTACTAATAAATGTTGTTTTATTGCTTTTAAACCTATGTAGTTTTTTTACAGTTACCACTGAATTGTGTTGTGTTAGAAATACATTTAAGGGACATGGGTTTGGGTTAATGGTTGGAAGCATTAAAGGAAGAATGTTACCCTCTACAATGGCTCAGTTTAAAAGGCTATCAGTTGTCTAATAGTCACTAAAGACAGGGATGACTCCACTTGACTGGAAGATTGCTAATGTACCACTCATCCAAACAAGCAATTATAGACCAATAAGTCTTCTATTACATGTAGGATTGTATACTTACTGTAGCTATATTGTTGAAAGTCATGCCCTGGCTTATATATTACAAAACAGCATCCTTGGATCCATTAGTTAGTTAATTGATAGCTCATACCTAAACAAGCTATATGCCAAAATCCCTTCTCTCTAAAAACGTTCTTATGTTCTTAGGCTAAAGTCTTTTTTATGCTAAAGCCAATAGCCTCATTGGATAAAAATTATTCTCTCTTTATCCTTTGTTATGCTGAGATAGTAGGACTCAACGCTGAAGTCGTTGAAGGCCATGCTGGTCCACTGCAGGTCAACAGTAAATCTGTTTTTGGTTTAGAAAAGCAAGCCTGTCCTTAATAACACAAATTTTAAAGTTTAATGGGCACTAGAACTAAGCATTTTAATGGGCCGCCATATGGAATCAATTTGTTTCTTGGTTTTTCAGGAAGAAAGAATATTACATGGTACCATATACAATAATACACAAATATGAGCAATTATCAAGGCATTAAAGTCTTGTTATCTAAGTAAATTGTATAAATCCAGCAATAAAATAAAAACGGGAATAAAGGAGTAGTAAAAAGGAAACCAGAGATATGGAAAGATAAACGAAGGAAAGAAAAGAAATAAAAAAAAAGGGAAGCCACAGTCTTCAAGGACATTCATATGTCTGCAAACTCTTAAAGCAGTTTAAAAAGGGCTACCAGGCAGAATATAATTGTGCAGTTGAGCCACAAAAGGAAAACCTATATTTTTCAGAGTGGAGAAAGTACATCACATCCCTTACCCAGTGAGTGAAGGTGGGTGCAACCGGTTGTTTCCAAAAAAGCTAAATCAAACGTCTCTCTGGTAAAGTGGAGAAGACAGTATAGTGGAATACATCTGGGAAATAACACCTCCAACACCTGGAGCTAATTTAAGCATAAAATCAGTAGAGTCTGAAGAGAGAGCAGGGAAATTTGGCACATGGTTTCAGATAAAGTGTTGAATCTGAAGGTGACAAAAAAAAGTTTGATTTGGGTAACTTAAATTTGCTCGATAGCTGTTCAAACAAGGCTATATTTCTTCATAAGGTTCAAATCCTAAATCCTGTTCACATAAGAAATTCACAGTAGCCAGTGTAGTGCAATCCAGAGACAGTACAGTGGAATACATCTGGGAAATGACACCTCCAACACCTGGAGCTAATTTAAGCATAAAATCAAATCAATAGATGAGTCTGGAGGAAGACCAGAGAAATTTGGTACATGGTTTCAGATAGTGTTGAATCTGAAGGTGACAAAAAAGAAAGTTTGATTTAAGTAACAAATTTGCTGGATAGCTGTTCAAACAAGGCTAAATTTCTTCAGACACTTCAAATCCTAAATCATGTTCACATAGGACTTTCATAGTAGCCAGTGTAGTGCAATCCAGAGATAATATAGTGGAACACATCTGGGAAATGACACCTCCAACACTTGGAGTTCATTTAAGCATAACATCAATAGAGTCTTGAGAGAGAGCAGGGAAATTTGGCACTTGGTTTCGGATAAAGTGTTGAATTTGAGGATAACAAAAAAAAAGTGTGATCTGGGTAACTTAAATTTGCTGGATAGCTGTTCAAGAAGGCAAAGCAACATCAATAAATACTGCAGGTCTGCAAGATGTTAACACCTCTATTGCTTCATAGGAGGAATACCTGGTCTATAACAGAAGGAGGGAACAAATGGTTTACATGGAGAAGAGCACAAACATTGAAGGACTGAAATCCAAAGTGTTTCCTAAATAGAATTCTAAGTAAATAAATAAATCCTAAGAGACCA